CCAGCTGTAGGAATGTAGTGGGCGGGCCAGATGCTGAAGACAAATGATAAAAATGACTTGTGTTTCCGGGGTCGGCTCACGGTTTAGCTGATGCCTGTCAGAGGCAGATWAAAAAAAARGCTGATCAGTTCACAGCTGTGTCCGGATGGTTTTGTTTGGCTCACTCAAACATTCACGTCATTATTATTAACTGGTGTTAGATCTGAACAGGTAAAGGGTAAAGAACATTGCTTATTTTTTAACAGAGAGACTGACATATGCTTTATTTACAAATCAAAGAACACATTTACAATAAGCACCTGACAAAATGATTTACATACAAGTGTAAAGAATCGGAACAACTTTATTACTTTGTCATTTTGTTATTGTAAAACTATACTGTACACTTGTTCTGTTTTATTTCTTTTTCTGTTTGTTATGTTGTGATAAGAAAAAATCCTAAACTACAGAATTTGCATTTCCTGCAAAATGCAATGTTGCTGAAAGATGTTTGCTAAAAGCTGCTAAAGAAGCTGAAGTCAAGCTGAAAAGTTGAAAAAAGMTGAAAACAGCTAAAATGAGCAAAAAAATAAAAGCTGAATTAAGCTGAAATTAGAGCAAACAAGTAAAAAAGCACAACCAGAAAAAYGGTGAAAAATGCAAAACAGATTTATAAATATTTTAAAGTGTTGAAAGGATGTTGATGACAGCTCCATTTCTTTTGAAAAGAAAAATGCTAAAAAGCTAAATATTTCAAAAAGTAGAACATGCTGTGAAGTACCACAAGACAGCTGAAGTGTACAAAAGGAGCTGAACATTTTGATATATTAATTGTTGAAATAGCACAAAAATTGTGGAACAAGATACGTTTCTAAAACCCTTTAAAAATGGATAATCTCAATAGTGTGAAAGCTTGATAAGCATTCACACAAAGAGTTACAAAAAAAGTTTGTTTTTTGCCTTTTTCTTTACATATTTCCTATTGTGCTCCTGTATGGCTGAAGAGTCATGGTCTAAAATGACTCTTAAAAACGGTGCATAGGTATCAGCACAGAGCTGCAGAAATTTCTGGATGCAATTGTGAAGAAATTTAGAGTTAGAAGAGATTAGTACTGATGTTAAAAGCACAACACTATATTCTTAAGTTCTCCTTTTTGTGATGTTGACAGTGTTTAATCTATTATGTTTTGATTGAAATGGGTATGTCCGAAACATCTTTTACAACACATAATTAAATGTTTGAACGACAATAGCTGACAATTTTGTCTGAATGCCTGTGACTCAGCCGTAGGTCAGCAGGGGGCGAGCGAAGGCACTGAAGTAAACTGTATAAATAGATGAACTTCCTGTTTTTTCAGCCAGTGTGGGTTTCTTGTCTGCTTCAGCAACAATAAAACCTCACTCAGATTCCAGAGTTCTGGTGTTGTGTGGTTTCATAAATTTCATCAAAAAATTCTACCATTATTCCAAATTAATGAAAAGAGAAGTAATATTAGCAGAATATTCTAATAAACAGCTTAAGCATTTGAACAGATTAAAAATAAATTCTAAGCAGCAGAAACCGTTCAAGAGGAGCAGTAGCAGGTATGTTAAAGACACCAATCTGCTATGAGAAGCAAGGTGGTATGGAGCTGCTGAGTGATAATCCTCATTTTCAACCAAGAAGGTATTTTAAACGCATTTCTCTGCTTTGCCTCAGGCAGTCATGCATGGGTAATCAAGCTGCCTGCTAATGTGGAGTCCTGGAAAAGAACATTTGGTGTGTATAGGCAGTAAAAAAAAATAAAAATTAAAACACAAAACCATCAGGCAGGGCAGAGAAAACAAAAACAAAATAATAAGCCGAGAGTCTTTTACCCTAGAAGATAATGGGATTCCAGCTGCATACCTGTCTTTGTTGAGGAAGTTCATTACGGGCATCTCCCTGCCCATGGTCCAGCTGGGCCGGTACACACAGTCCTCTGGTACTTTAACAGGTGGGAGAGACTGGCTGGGCAACGTCTTCAGAGGGGCGAACATGGAGCAACCTACAAATGCCTGACACAGCTCTGTCTTGTACACAAAAGAGTAATCCTGGAGAATAAACACAAAAATAAGGACAATTTTTGAAAGAGTTCACTGTATAATGAAATGTTATTTTTAACTTAAATAGAATAAAGAAACCGGATACTTCTGATTACACTGAATCTCAAAGGCAGAGTTAAATTTCTGACCTGTTTGCATTATTTGAAAGAATTATAGGTTGATTAAAAAAATTATAGGCTTTTCAAAAAACAATCAAATATATAAAATAAAATCTTTGCAACTGAACTGATTGTATCTCCTAAAACAAATTCATAACAGATTGAACATTTAACTRCAATAAACATCAAGAAACAACAAAAACAAAATCAAATGTATATATCTTTTTAGATTTATGCACTCAACAGTGGGGATGTAACRATTCACTCAAGCCCTAATTCAAATAGATTATCGATTTACAAATAAAAATACCTTCCTGGTTAAAGATTTTCTTTTTTTTCAACCAAATTAATTGTAGTCATTATATAATCAAATATGTTTATTTTCTTTTAACATTAGCATTTTATTCCTTGTAGCATTTTCCTGCATATAATTAATCATTTCTGATTAGATTTCACTTGTTCCTCTGACTGCACAAAGGAAGGAACAAAATCCCACTTTAACTTCAGACTATTTTTTTAAGAAATTTGCATGGAACTTCTTTGTGGCCCTAATTAGCATCTCTTACACCAACCCCCCACCAGACTTCCTGACGCCTTAATGTTAATAGATAAGGACTGCCTGTTCGCTCCTCTTCAAAGGGGGGTCATAATGCCTTTAACCAGACTTTTCAGTGACTGAGACAAAGGACCTACATTCTTCATTAAAAGTGAAAAAAAAAGAGAACAAGATTGAATTGTTTTTATACAACTGTCTGTTTTCATATATCTTAATCAAAGAAATGTGATTTACCTGTTTCTTTTACAGAAAGAACAAAACCATTGAAGCTCCACTGTGTTCTCTTTTTAACTGTGAATTGTGTAATTGTTTGAAACGTTTTCCTGAAGAAGATGTTTCTTTTATTTCATGATTTTAAAACAGTGTGTGTTTTATTCCATGATTTAATCCTTCACCTTAGGACTTGAATTTTTAATTAAATGTGACACTTATTTTACTGAGGTAAGCAGATGTCTCACCCTTTAATTAGATGCAAGATAATTAAACTAAAACACTCCCTTTTTCTTTGTTCTGAAGTAAAGTTTTCCCTTCAAAACAGATTTGATTTGTTAAAAAAACGTTTCCTGTATAAGGTGTAATATTTTTATTGGCCAACTTAAAACCTTGACTCCGCCCATAACAGAGGTTTTAAAAGTTAGTGCAGCTCCCGAGACCGACATGAGAGAAAGAGATCTTTTCAACATCAGAAGCCAGAAACAGCTTTCCAGAAGCTCAGCAGAGGCCCTTCCTGCCAGCCCTTCCCCATGGGCTGGGCAGGATGAGGTCRTTCTGCATCTCCCGCTGATTGGTCGAACAGCTACCGTTTCATATCGACTCAATACCTGAGTTTGATTTTATAGAAGTTAAATAAGCTAACAGTAATTCATGCGTCGTTTTAGTTCGTTTTCTCTACAAAGTGGAAATCAAATTAAGAAGTCTTGCAGCCGCCTGGGAGGACCGGACCACGTGTCACTAGGGAGTGACCCCCTTCTCTGACCAAGGGACCAGTCGAGTTTATCAGGCAGACCACCTGACATCCAGCTTGCATGGAGAGCCTACCTGGGGAAACGACCCCAGAGATGACCTTCCACCGCTGACTTCCCTCCTGGTACCCACACGGCAGAACAAAAGGGTAAAAGTGAACATTTGTCCTGGTGACACACAGGTGCTCAGACTAATTTGATTCTTATCTTTGAATGAGATTTGGTAAACTAAACGATTTTTCTACCTAATTTAACTAGGACCTCCTTAGTTAAATCCTCAGCTAAAAGCAACTCACCTCATTCCAAACCTCAAACTCACCTCTCAGTGTTTATGTTACGTTTATTTGTTGTTTGTTTATTTGTTTGTTTGTTTGTTTATTCACTCGTGATTGCAAACTCTTTCAGTTCTTACCTGGTTCAACATGTCATCACTTCTTACTCACCATAGTTGTAAATGCATTTAATCTGTAAATAAATGGCCCGTGGAGAACGTGCCAACATAAGCTAATCTCATTTTTTGTGTCTTGATGAAAGTATTATTGGTTCTGATAAGACAAGAACTCATCAAATCATTTTGGGTACATTTATTGTGAGACTGATTACAATAAAGTTAAAGTTTTTCATCTCTTTCCTGGGTCAATCCTGGACCAAATTAAGAGAGTGGTGCCTCGAGGTAAGATAATTTGTGTATTTAAATATATTCACAAATTATCCATTTTAGAATATACCCAAAACCCCTTCACCCTTGTATCAAATTGTAACTGTCGTCTTACAACTGAATAGTCAGTAATTTCAAAATAAATAAAATTGTCATCACAAATCCTTGTTACCTGAAGTTATCAAGTATCAAACTGAATTCTACAATAACAAAATAGATTCTTTCATTTTTATGAATTTATTCACATTTGAAGCAGTTATAATCGATTATGAATAGATTTTGGATTAAYTGTTACATCCCTCTTCAGCAGAGTGTTCATTTTATCAGTCTTCATTGTGAGAACTTAATCAAAGGAGTTTATTGTGATGAACGTTGAACTCTAGATTCTTGCTCTATAAGGCAGTATTTGACCTTTCGTTATTTGACTGTTTCAAAATAACTTCATCTGTCAGGAACTGACTCTGGCATTAAATTGACCCTGTTTTTCAATTAGACACCACATTAATATCAGTGGTCTCAGCTGCTTTGACATGAACACCAACGGGATATACCGAGTCCGGACCCACCTTGATCTCAGACGGTTTGGGGCTACAGAAGCTCTCTTCTACTTCGATCTTGAAGTCGCCTCCCAGWGTTGAGATGCCGTCCAGAGTGGTCATGCCCAGGTTGTGCTCCATGCTGCAGTACTCCTTGCTGCACATATTCATTGGTGAGTAGCCCATGGTGTGCTGCTCCAAGGAGGGAGGCGTGGGAAACATATGGGGCCAGTCTGAACCTGGAGGAAGCAAAGCAACAAGAGGCTATCAGTTTGTGTCAGATTTTCGTTGAGAGGCGTTTGAAGAAACGTAGCACCGCAGTCATTATCAAAATATCATCATTTACTGCCAACAAATACAAACAATATTTACATTTCCACAGTTTCAGTCATCCAAAATAAAAACATCCAAGACACAAACAATTTAATAAATTGGTGAAAAATGTTACCCTATGCATTTTCCTGCAGTTTGTCACTATTTTTGCAGGAAAACATGACAAAGCATGCTGCTATTACARGCTAATGAAAACACAAGTCTGACARGYGCCTCACCCACCAGCTCAAGGAACATTTACATTGTTTGTCGCACTTATCTTGGTAATTTCTCAAAGATTTCTCTTTTTTAAACGCCTTTATATATTTATTTACAGACTACATCTAAGTGCTTGGTTTTCCTGTTCATAAATTGAAAGGCAGATAAAAGCAGAAGCTCCTTGGATGAATGTGCTTTTATCTACACTAGTATGACAAATTTCCCAGTGGGGTGGCAAATGTGCAAGAAATAATAAACCATGCAATTAGACAATGTATAAAGACACTATTAGGCAAAACTGACACATTTCTAACACTTCAGGACATTGCTAATTACTTTGCCAGCAAAACATACAATGACATGGTCTTTAAATCCAGATTACTGCACATGATCTCAAACCTGATGAGTAACAAGGTTTGTTACTGACACAATGAGTACAGAATAGTTCCTATAATTCTTTCAAATAATTCAAACAGGTCAGAAATTTAATTCTGCCTTTGTACACGTCTGTTTCCTATTTCCGTTCATAACACCAGTGATCTGATCAATGACTAAAAGCACCAACCATATACTGTCCTGGACCAAAAACACCAATACACTTTACAAGAAGGGTCTATTTTATGAAGCAGCTGAGGTCTTTCAACATCTCTCAACCAACTATTAAGAAACCTTATGAGACTGTGACATCCAATGAGACAGTACCATTATATGTTGTGGCAGCAGATTGATGCCAGAGGAAATGGAACAAAATGATCTGCAAGTCCAGCAGTGGAAAGGAACAAGAACACTAACATGTATTGTGGCTTTAGAAAGAAAATTCGGAAAATTGTGGAAAATACCTTTCAGTTGTCATGTCATGTCAGTTCAACAACAAACTTTTTCAATTCGATGTAAAACTGATAACCAAACTAAGACAGATCCTTCTGACACTCATTGGTACAGTAACCTAAAATCCAGAGTTGACTGCTACAACAAATAAAATCACTTGTGCAGTAAACAGGAAATAACTGATGATTACATAACACTGTCTAATAATAATTATGTACACAAAGACATTATAACAGTGTACCACTACGTAAAGACAACCAAATTAAAGATCCATAAACTCTGTATGACCTTCTTTTCTATTTGTCAATTATTCTCCCATTATGTGTCTCCCACAGCTTTGGAAAGACCAAAAAAAAACATGCACCAATACATGTGGCTCACTCAGGAATACTGCATTTTAACTTTCAGTACGAAAAACAAACAAAAACGGACAAATATACAGTGTTTCCCTAGGAAATTAGTCTGAGGGGGGCGGGGGGCACTTGTTTTAAAAAAACATAAATTTACGCGACTCACCTGCAATTATGGTAATACATTTACACATACATTAACATTTAATTGCCTAACTACATCCTAGTTAAGGACTCATGATAATTATCAATAAAATTCTTATTGATCATAAATGATTAGAACTCTGTGCAGCAGATGATCTGAGTCCAGAGTTCTCAGTCTGAAACCTCCTGGAACTCTTCTTGTGTGACTTTAGGTTGATTGTCTCTTTCGTGTCCCTGATGGAGACTGGAGACCTGTCCAGGTGTCCCCTGTCTTCACCCAAAGGCAGCGAGGACAGGTTCCAGCCCCACCCTGATTAGGAATGAGGAGGACAGGAGGAGGATTTTTCTTAATAGCAGGAAACAGATATTTAATTATAAAACATGATTTATTTTATGTTAATCTGAATCAGTTAAGTGTTTGTAAATATATTTGACAGTTTTGTAGGAATGAACACGTTTGTAATGATTGTTCAAAATAAACCTGCTTCTTATGACTTCTGTAACATGTTTTGAATAAAATATTATCAGTAAAAACCTCAAATCACGTTTTTTCTAATAATCATTAGAACTAGAAGAACTGTAACTTTGCAGAGTTTCTCCAA